AAGACACAGGTGACCCCCCTTCCGTTTAGGGTGGTTTCAGCTTTTGCTGCGTCGGGCTTTCGCACCTATAGTCTCCATTGAAAGTCTTGTTCGGTCCATGAGACAGTCTTATAGTTAGCACTGTATACTCCACATACCATGCAATTCCCTAAGGGTCCATGTACCCAAATAGATATACTTTGGCCTTAAAGTAGTCCCTATTTGGGTACTTTGGGGCCTATGTATATCTATTTGGCTACATGGACCCTTAGGGATTATTCGAAGAGGGCCACACCGGAGACTGTAGGTAGGAGTCAGGGTCCAGGGTTTAGGGTTTAGGGCATGCGGCTTCACGATTAGAGGCGTGGGATTTAGATCTCAAGGGTGAGCCGAACCATACGGTTTAGGGTTTAGGGTTTATGATTTTAGGGTTTAGGATTTTAGGGTTTAGGGTTTAGGGGTTTAGAGGTTTAGGGTTTAGGGTTTAGGGTTTAGGGTTTAGGATTTAGGGTTTAGGGTTTAGGATCCTGGGACTATCCCAAAGTAGTTGCGGCGCAGAGCCAGCGCTGAGGATCAACACGGGCTTTAGTGATTTTAGGGTTTTAGTGTAAATCTTAGGGTTTTAGGGTTTAGGGTTTCGGGTTTAGGGTTTAGGGGTTAGGGGTTTAGGGGGTTTAGGGTTTTAGGGTTTAGCGTTGTGGAGTTTTGCTGTATCGGGCTTATGGCCCCAAAGACCTTCTAGCATACCCCAACATTCCTTCCATTAAGGACCATAAGGCTTTGAGTAAATGGTACTTGCGGGTTCCTGGTAGGGCTTCGGTTTTGGCGTTCAACGTCTTCACCAGCCCAGATCTGTCGAAAGGATCTGCAGAACAGTTTCGAGCCAAGTGTCCACGTACCCATGTAGTGCATACTTTGGCCGTAAAGTACCCATATAAGGAGTCAAATCAGGCCAAAGTATATAATGTATGAACGGGTACATGGACCCTTAGGGTTAGGTTTTAGCATAGTGTAAGAAATAACCATAGCACTGCTAGTTCAACTAGTCAGGACCCTAGATTAGCTTCATGGTGTCAGCGCTTGTGATCGTCAAACCGTTCCAGAAAGCTCAGAGTATAGGAGCTATGGTATGTATATATAAATACCTCTCGCTCTCTCTCTCTCTCTATATATATATATACACATACACATACTATATGTTCCTGACGAAAAACGCAGGATACATGTGGTTCATAAGCAATATGGGCCAATCTGGATGAAATTGGGGTGCGGAGTCCGCCTCCTTCACGTGGTGGAGGACGTCACCTGAACCAAAACATCCGTATCGGCCATGTGCAGACTCAGTCCTACAGCTGATGGTATAAATCCTGCATTATATTAAGGACCTAAACTATGGGAATTATGGTATATACCTTACTATGGGTAATGCAGGATATATATATATATATCATGAACCGTAGTTGTAGTTGGAGGACCTTTCATTATCGCAGAAGTAGCTTATCCCAGAGGGTCCTAGGTACTGTTATGGGGATACTTCCCCAAATCATGATGGTGATTCCTCGCAGACAAACCCCCTTTTTGTTACTTAGGCCTCTAGACAGATCAAAAGCTACCTACCCAGCCCCCAAAACCGAACACACACCCAAAACCCTAAACCCTAAATCCGAACTTTGGAGGACACCATAAAACCGTGGACGTTCTGAAAGGAGCTGGGGAACTTCAGGAAACCTCCATCCAAACCTAAAGAGTTTAGGGTTTTAGGGCTTTGGGGATTAGGGTTTGGGGGTTTAGGGGTTTAGGGTTTCAGGGTTTTGGGGGTTTGGGGGTTTAGGGGTCTTTGGGATTAGGGTAAACCTAAACCCTAAACCACTAAACCTCCTAAACCCCTAAACCCCTAAACCCAAACCCCTAAAACCCTAAAACCCTAACAGCCTAAAACCCAAAACCCCTAAAAGCACCAGAAAGGCAGCTGAGGAGCTGCTCCACAGAGGCAAAGCGAGAAGAAAAGCCCCGAGGCCTCGGCGACTCGCGGTAAACACTAGGTTTAAGTCCAATCCCTAAGGCTCTAAGGCTCCGGGGCTTTAGGGTTCCTTTAAAGGGATCTAGTAGGGGTTCCTTTAAAGGGATCCCTAAGCCTTACCCTCGAAGGACTCATATTTTAAGGCTTTTGGGCCCAAAGACCATACTATATAAGGCTTTTGGACTATTTTGAGCCTTAGGGAATGAACCTCCAAGTATATGAACAGCTTGTTCCCCAAAGGGTCCAGGTTCCCAAATGCAAAGAGTTTGGCCTTAGGAATTAGGGGTTAGGGGGTTAGGGTTTAGGGTTTAGGGGGCGCATTCTTCCAAGAGGGGTTGAAGGGGCTCAGCAGCTCAGCTGCGGGGTTCAGGGGACGGGGGTCTAGGGTTTAGGGGTTGAGGGGTATAGGATTTCGGGGTTTCGGGTTTTAGGAGTTTAGTGATCTAGGGTTTGGGGTTTGGGATTTCGGGGGGTATGGGTTGGGGGGCCTTACAAGGTCCCAGATCTTCCTTATAAATCCGTTTAATCGTAATGATTTTATTTTAAATCATATAGGGGGCCCTGCAGTACCTATAGTCTCCACTGTAGTTCCTTTTTGGGGTTACATTTTAGGTTCCTTAATATACAATTGGTTAAACCAAAAACAGGAACTACAACGGAGACTGTAGGGAATTTGAAGGTATTGTTCCTTAACTAGGCGATATTGGCAGATCTGGGGTGGGATGAAGGCAGGTTTAGGTTTAGGGCTTGGGCTTGGAGATGTGTAGGCTTTAAAAGAGGCTTCTGTAAGGTAGTGTGTCTTTGAAGAGTTTCTTGAGGGTGCTGGATTGAAATTTTTAAGTTTACGGAGTTGGGGTTCAGGGCGTTGTGGCTTGCAGTTGACGGTTGGGGTCTGGGGTTTCGAAGCACAGAGCTGTTGTGTTCCGAGTTCTTTCGGCAGACAACAAACATCTCGAGACCTCGTTTAGGGTTTAGGGTTTAGGGTTCTTAAATCATTTTGTTAAGGCCCCCTGTAATTTAAGGTACTATTCCTTAACGTTCCTAAGTTGGCCCTTTAAGGCATCTGAAAAACATTCATGGTTTAGAGCTTCGGGGGAACACTGTTGAAGGACAAAGTTCTGCATGACCCAAGTATAGTGTAGTACCATAAATCCCATAGTTTCGGTATATAAGGTCATGCAGGATTTTGTCCATCAACCGTAAGACCCTCACAAGCTCAATGAAGGAAAATACACACCTATCCCCAGGGCCTACTTTAGTGATGGACATCTTGAAGGACGGAAGGGGGCAGGTCTGGTAACTGGTTTTGGGCCCAGTCTGTAAGGCTTGCAAGGGTTATTCGGTTCAGGGGTTCAGAGCTTCAGGGGTTTAGTTTTAAGGTTTAGGGTTTGCGGTGCTATTCTGCGGTTCAGCGTTCTGGTGCTTTGATATTTCTTCGCTGCCCAGTACCCTGCAACAAAAAAATTGAGCGTTTCTTTTGGTAGGGTTTAATATACCAAAAAAGATTAAAGTTTAACTATTGGGCTCCGAAGATTTCACACATACTAGCACAGGGTAACTTCAGAAAGTGGAGGCACCAAGGTCCACATTTCAGCATGCAGTGAGCCGGAGCCCTTACACATATTTGGATGTACTCGTGGGATACTATAGGGCCGTAATGATTAGAGTAGGGGTTGAGGTATACTATACTATAACTACAGGATGGAACCCAAAAAAAAATATAGTATTGGCAATTACTAGACCCCTATATCTAAACCGCAGACCCTAACCCCTAAAGCCTACACACCCTAAACTCTAGGACATGTGTACTCATAGTTGCCTAAACCCTAAACCCTAAACCAAAAAACTAAACCCTATAAAGGGAAAGTCGCATGCCCTAAACCCTAAACCCTAAACTCTAAACCCTAAATCCTAAACCCCAAACCCTAAACCCCAAACCCTAACCCTAAACCCGAACCTTCGCAGATTTTTCTTGTGCGAGGCCTGAGCGTGCGTCGAGAGCGCATTATCGGCCTTGCGCCTGCCATCTTTGCGGTTTTTCAATGGGTTTAGAGTTTAGGGTTCAGGGTTTAGGGTTTAGGGGTTGTGTTTTTTTTGGGGTTCAGAGTTTAGGGTCGTCTAGGGTTTAGGGTGCAGGGTTCAGAGCTCAGGGTTTAGGGGTTTGGGTTTGGGGTTTAGGGTTTGGGGTTTAGGGTATGGAAAGTCCATCCAAACTTACGCTTAGGTCACCTAGGTCGGTTGTAGGTTTAAGTTTCGGGTGCAGAGCTCTCTGGCACCACCATCTGACCGATCAGCAGAATCGTGAGCTGCAGTTGAAGACGCGGCTCACTACCGGAAATCCATGTCTGGCAAAACTTCCGATGCTATATAAAAGCGTGCAGCACAGGAGCTAGGATGTCCCGGACATCCGGAGCGTCTCAGCGGATTGAATTCTTGAATTCGTTTGTTCTCCTGAGCTTGCTTCAGGTATTTTCTCACCCCACTTTCCATCTCGTCCAGAGTGGTATCTGGAGGAGAACTTTGGAAAACGCACCGGTGCGCGTAGGCTTCAGGTGTGATGTCATGCCACCTAGCCAGGCCTTGGACATCTTCCTCACGTATGCGCGAGATAAAAAGCTTCTCGAGCATCCGCTTGGTCAGCAAGCCGCCAGCAGAGAATACGAGGTCCAACGGCGCGCTCTGTTTCCGGAGGACGACCCAGTTCCCATCGTGTTCATTGATGGCCCGAGATTCATAGAAACCACTCCTCAGTGCCATGGCTCAGGCATGTCATGCCCTGATTAGCAATGCACCTGATGCGAATGGCTGCAGTTCGCACTTCAGAATCACACTCGGGCAAGAACTCAAAACGCATCGCTTTGGAGCTGGGCCCTGTATGCAGTACCCTGCACATCCAGGATTGCACTTGTGCATGCGTGGGGCATGTATGTATGTATGTGTAGCTGCACATGTCGCTCCACATAGCAGTTAATTATGTACATGTGTGCATACAGCATACATGTCTACACACACACACACTTGCAGCAAGTCACTTGCAGGCATGTAGGTCCATACATACTCATCCATGCTTGCGTGCACGAGGATGCTTCATGTTTAGTTTCACAGAGAGAAAAGAAGCTAACACAAAAGACATAGAGACAGAGAGAGAGAGAGAGAGATCGAGGTGCCTACACATATTACATATGTACACAGTTATGCATGCATGCATATGTACGTATGTATGCATGCAGGTATGACGGAGCAAATGAATGAGTGAATGCAGGCATGTATAAATGAATGCATGCATGCATGCATGAATGAATCAATGAACGAACGAACGAACGAACTAACGAATGCATGTGCGTGTATGTATCCCTAAGGGTCCATGTACCCAAACAGTATAGACTTTGGCCTTAAAGTAGTCCCTATATAGGCACTTTGGGGCCAAAGTATATGCTGTTTGGGTACATGGACCCTTAGGGTTTCAGTTTGTATGTGTCAAGCCTGGAACCCAATCACCGAGCCTTTCGAGCGTGTGCCCGACCGGTGCTTGGAGCTTTGGAAGGACTAAGGACCCGTAGGTTTCCGGTTCAGGGCTTAGGGAACCCTGAACCCTACCTGGACCCCAAAGAACCTACCCTTTTTAGAGCTCCTTATGGTGATTTCTGTATATAAGTCCTTAAAACGGTAGGCTCTTCGGGGTTAAGGTAGACCCTAAAACCCTAAACTCCGTGTCTCTAAATTCAGCAGCGAAATTCTTACCAGGCCCCGCGCCATAGGACAGTGGCCACACATGTCGGCCAAGAGAAAATCGAAGAAGTGCCTTTGCCCTAAGGCTCTTGCTGCTGTTATGGGCTTTCTAGCAAAAGGTTTGGGCTTTGGGGGCTAAGGTTTGGGCTTTCACTATGGGCTCAGAGATCACCCAGCGCCCCTCCTTCGCGTTCCTACGCCTTTGTGGCCCGGGCCTGAACAATCTTGATTGATTCAGGGCCAAAATGTAGGAACCTGATTCAGAAATCCTGGCCCTAGAAGCCCCAAAATAGTAGGATTCATATAGAGAACCCCAATAAAGGCCCGAGGTTTCTGAATCAGGTTCCTACATTAACCCTAACCAAACGCTAAAACGTAAAGGACTGAGGGCTTCAGGTATAGCTATGCAAAAAGAGTCACTCCTCGCGAGTATCTGCCCATACAACTAAAGCCTAAGCTCTCAAACCCTAGAGCTAGGTTTTGGGGTTATTAGGGTTTAGAGCTTCAGGGTTTAGGGTTTGAACCATTCTTGCACGATTCCGCGCCGAAGCCATTTTTCGAAGCTCTTTCAGAGCCAGGCATCGGTTTGGGGAACCCTGACTACGCCCTAGCCTAAACAGGAGCTTCACTTCAAAACCCCGAAGCCTAAACCCTACACCCTAAACCCCAAACCCTAAAACCCTAAACCCAAAGCCCTAAACCCTAAAGCCCCAAAGAGTAATCCTGAGGAGTCTTGGGGATGTTGGACTTCAGGTCCAAAGGGTCCTAGGTACTGTTATAGGGGTTTAGGGTCTAGAGTTTAGGGTTAGAGGTTTAGGGTCTCAGGGTTTAGGGGCATACTTCCCCAAATCATAATCGTAATTCCTAGTATAGAAGCCCTACATTCTACTAGTATAGAGCCACTACATTCTTGCCGCAGCCCTTGCATGTTGAAACGCCGATTATTGCAGGCCCCAAACCCCGAAGTGAAAACGTAGAGGGTTCACTGTAGCGCACCCATGCCCTACTCTATAATTATGAAAGTCATTTGATGATGTGACATTGCACGCAAAGACTGTGTCCGATAGACTAAACCCCAATTGTGGCAGAAAAGAAACTATCAAGGCTTGGGACTGGGGAGTAGGAACCTGAATCAACGGCCTAAGGTTTAGGACCATAATCCACACACACTTTCTTACAAAAAGGGATACCAATTACCCAAGAGTTCTGGGATATAAGGGCTTTTATAATTAAACTAGGGTTCCGGCGTATATTCATAGTATACTTGGAGGGTTGGGGACTTAGTAAGTAGCTAGTTTGCAGACTTATAAGTATCATAGCCCCAATACGGACCCCTTTTCAGGTAGTTAGGAGTTATAAGTCTACTTGTTATCTACTTACTAAGTCCCCGGACCCTCCAAGTATTTATAGTGGCACTAAAGGAAGATACAAATAAATACTATTTATCCTGGCATCTATAGTAGTAGGACTTAGTAGGACCTAAACCACAACTTTCAATTGTGGAGTTGTAATCAACAGCCTTGAAGTATGTTTTTTTTTACGGCTCACGTGCTTAAACCCCTAAACCCCAAACTTTAGGGACAGGCCAGGGAGTATACAGAAATAAACCCTAAACCCTAAACCCTAAGCTCTGCAGCCTAAATGAAAACCAGTTTCGATCACGTGGGACTCAGTTCCGGGCCGGTGAAGCACACTGGGAACCGACCTCCCGTTGCTCTGGCAACGGTGTAGGGTTTAGGGTTTTAGGGTTTAGGGTTTAGGGTTTTAGGGTTTAGGGTTTAGGGCTTTAGGGTTTAGGGTTTTAGGGCTTTAGGGTTTAGGGTTTAGGGTAAGATCCTGATAGAATCTCGAAAGCAATCCCCTGTTGAAAGTACCCTCATTATTACCCATTGTTGCCAATCCTAACCGTTGCCAGAGCAAAACCCCAAACCTTAAAATCCTAAACCCTAAACCCTGTCAGGACTTTAGGTTCTGGGGCCGGGGGAGGTCCCAGAACAGGCATATATATATATCGTATAATTCATACATACATTCATACATACATACATACATACATACATATATATATATATGTCCCTCAACCCTAGAGTCCCTAAAGCCTAAAGCCTAGGTGCACTTATGTATAGCCGAGCTCTTGTGCCAGACAGGCTCGAGGGTTAGACAGGGTCTTATACATGGCCCCTGCTACACAGGGTCTTCGGCCAACGATTCTTCGGCTAAAGAGGATCTTCCATAAGACTGGGGTGTTGAAGAGTTCTAGTTGTCAACATGGCTTGGATGCACTATGGAGACAAATGCCAGGTCACGTGCCAATAAGACTCCATGCCACATGGCTTGGCTTAGCTAAACTTGTTTTGGCTTGCTTTGGCTTGGCCTTGGCAGTGGCTTTGGCTTGGGAACCTGTCGCATGTTTGACGATAGGCCCTCGACGTCGAACTTCTTATGTAACATACGGACATGTACACGTATGTCTATGTAAAAAATGTAAGATGTATGTGTACATTTCCAGTCTGTAGCGCACACATACCACATACAGGCATATACAGGCATACATCTCAGTATGTCTGCTTGCACACATGCACACGTACAAACACAGGTATCGACACCGCAATCCATATGGAAAAGGACAAAGATACCATCAGCCCTCCTAAACCTTCGCTGCTGTCCATATTTTTGGCTAATTGATCATAGACCCCAAAACCCTAGAACTTGCTGCGTGAGGAGACTCAACTCAGCCCCAACATGTCCTTCAACAATGCTAGTCACTAGTACTTTGAACGACCCCCAAGGCTCGACAAAGCCTATAATTATAAGGTGCAATGTATTGTAGGCACTTTAGGGTTTAGGGTTTTTAAGGGCCCAAGTATGTACTGGGGACATGGATCCTATAGGGGTGTGGGTGTGCACGTGTATATGGCCTCTGTATCTAAGTTCCGAGGTGGTGTACCCAAAACAGTCTTCCGAAGCCTGACAACTGAAGACCCGCCGAAAAAGTACGCTGAACCGTGCTCCCCTCAGAACACCAACAGAAGTACAACCATGCACCAAAGACGACCTGCACCCCCTGGCCCTTAAACTTTGCACGCCTCATCTCAAACAACCTATGCCACAAGCAATCAGCCCCCTCAAGCCCAGTAGAAAAAGGGCCTGCATACGAGTAATAAAAATTGGGCTTTGTGCTTAAAATATAGTAAGGAACCCTTTAAGGAGTAATAGTGGTCACTATCCGGCCCCATTTCTTGGCTGACTTCTGAACCCCTCCTAAAAGTTAAACTTTTAGCCTCCTTATTATATTTCATATAGAAACCCAAAAAGTTAAAGTCCTAAGAGCCAACCAGAAGAACACTAAGATTTGTAAAAAAAGATCCGAAGGCCCTGGCCAGCGCCAGCACCGGCGCGGCGAGAACCCGAAGCCGGTTCACCAAGAAGGCAAGGAGGCATCTGAGCTACAGTTCACGGCTTTAAAGGGATCTAGGGTTCCTTTAAAGGGATCTCTAAAGGTTCCTTTAAAGGGATCTAGGGTTCCTTTAAAGGGATCTCTAAAGGTTCCTTTAAAGGTTAGGGTTTAGGGCTTAGGGCTTCAGGCGTGAAGGAATTGAAGGTCCAGGGTGTGGGGTTTAGGGCAGGATTGAGCCAAGCTGTTGCAACACATGTTAAAGGAAACTACAGGTGGGGAGTTTAGGGTATATAGGGCTTCTATAAGGCTTCTATAAGGTATATAGACCTTCTATAAGGGGTAACTACCCACCTGAAAATGTCCTAGACTGAGCTACAGTTCAAGGCTTTAGGGCTTCAGGCGTGAAGGGCTTGAAGGTCAAGGGTATGGGGTTTGGGGTTTAAGATGGCTTTAGGATTTAAGGGCTTATATGGCTTAGGGATTTCGAGTTTCAGGTTGAGGGGTTTAGTGGGTAAGGGTTGAGGTTTGCGAGGGTTTCAGGCTCAGTCTTGAGGTCTCTTCAAGACTTCGGTTGAGGGTTTGGGCTGGATGGTTCAGGAGTTTAGGCTTTGATTTGTGAGTCAGGGTTGAA